TTTTTTTTTTTTTTAACATATATTATTTGTTTCAGAGGTACAGATCTGTGATTCATCAGTCTTGCACAATTCACAGTGCTCACACCATAGCACATACCCTCCCCAATGTCTATCACCCAGCCACCCCGTCCCTCCCACCCCCCACCACTCCAGCAACGCTCAGTTGTTACTTGAGTTCTTAATTGCTACAGAGATGTGCTCACTTTGCAAGGAGATTTTTTTTTTTTTTTTGCCATTTGAAAAAATTACTGTGCCAATAAGATGTTCTTAAATGAGGCCCTAGTTTCTTCATGTACTTTTCATTTTGAGAAGTACAAAGTATATCCTTTGGTTTCTTTTTTAAAATGGCACACGTCATCTGATGCATATGCTGACTGTGAGGAGATTCATTACTGTCCGGAATATTTTCATATCTAAGTAGCCTGCCATTGAGAGCTCCTCCCTTATTTCCATAGGACATGTGTTCGGAATTCTCTAGACATGGGGTTAAGATACATGTGATAACTAGGGATTTGTTCTCTGTAAAGTCTCTTAGGCAATCTCATTTGTAGTTTGGCTAAATTCTCAACGTGCAGTAAGTTTGTCTATTTCTAACCTTTTATATTTTGGCTTTTGCTTTCATGGTTCTTTATTTAAAAAAAAATCAAAGTCAGGTACACATTATTTTTGGATAATCCTTATCGCTAGACTCCCTCCATTAGCCTTGACTATCAGGATTTACTCTTTATGTATGGTACTTGTATATAAAAACATACTCAGAAAACATATTATGTTAGAGAAAGAATTCTAACATCTTGTTGTATATTTGATTAACATAGTTTTGCTGTACAAGTTTCTCACTTGAAGAATATTTTTATAAAATCTTTCTGTACAAAAAAAATCTTTCTGTACATTGTTCTACTGATACCTAAATCTTGCAGAAGTGCTGCTGTAAATTTGCCATCATTAACTGGCAAGTGAATTGTTATGTTAGTGTGACAATCAGGCAGACCTGAAAGAGAACATGTAAATTTTAAAATTATAATTTCCACATAAATTTGAAGTAATCAACAGTAATAAATAATAGTACTTTGTAAATATTAAGGTTTTTATTAAGTGTAAAAAATAATTTTCTATAAGCAAATACTGGGACAAAAAGAAAGAAGTTTCCTAAAATCATAAAAGTTTGCAGCAGTGAGTTTGAGGTAAAAATCTAACACTCAGTTTCTGAAGATACTTGAGAAATAAGCATTGAAGAACTCCACTGTTTGTAAACTCATCATTATAGGCTACATTTGGTACATTCGTCCAGATCTCCTATGAAATTGGAAGATTTCCTTTTCTTGCGATATTTCAGGAAATCATCTGCTTCCAAGACGGCACAGAATGGAACTCCACAGTTACCTCGCACTAGTACCTCCCTAGCCGGTGGGAGTGAAGCCGGAAAGAACCTGGGAGGAGCTGGAGAAAATGAAGAATCCTTAATGCCAATGATAATGCCAAACAGCTTCATCGATGCAAAGGTACCCTGAGCTGAGATACTGATTTGCTGTGTAATCCTTCTGTCCGTTCATCTTCCCTTGATGTGTGAAATTGGCTTACTAAAAAATCCTATGTTGGAAGTATTATGTCCATATTCTACTTGATGAAATAGAAAACAGTTTCATCCAGATCCTTCCTTATGTAAAATACATGGGGAGAATATAAGGATGGATAAAAGATAAAGGAATAAAAGATCAAAGAGAGTAAAAAATGAGAAAACAGCATAAATTCAATTAGATGGGGTTATGTGGAACTAACGTGTTTTAGATAAGGACACAAGGGTCATCAGTCTATATTTACTATAATTTGGATTGCCCTGTATTTACTCTGTGGGCAATTTTTTTATTAATCCATTTTTATACTTAGTTTGGTTGATTTTTTTTTAACTGCCTTGGACATTAGAACATTCCAGGTGTCAACTACAGTTTTAAAAATATGGAGTATCTAAATAGATGTCTCAAGATCCTTCCCTTATGGCTTGAGGAAGTTGGTTATAATAAAGAAGTGTCATTGGAAGATTTTACTTCATGTCCTTTCCACTATATGTAATAATAGTACAGTGATAAGCATTAGGAAGACCAACTGAAAATTATTTTTAGTCACATTGCAACATTAGATAGTGTGCATTATCATAATAGCTCTCATAACCAATGCGGTGTAAATCAGGTATCCATAAACTATAGCCCAGCCCAGACTAGCCCACAGCCTGTTTTTGTATGAGCTAAGAATGTTTTTCACATTTTTAAAGGGTAGTTTGAAAAAAAAAAAAAAAGCAGAAAATGAGACAGAGGCCATATGAGGCCTGCAAAATCTAAAATACTTACTATCTGGCCCTTTACAGAGAAGGCTTAACAAATCCTGGTCTAAATTCTTCCCCAACCCTTTTCTAAAATTTAGAATAATAACAGAAATATAACAAAATTTCAGGCAGTTTTGATATTAATTTTTTTTTGAAGACTTTATTTGTCAGAGAGAGAGCGAGCACAAGCAGGGGGAGTGGGAGGCAGAGGGAGAAGCAGGCTCCCTGCTAAGCAGGGAGCCTGATGCGAGATTTGATCCCAGGACCCTGGTATCATGATGTGAGCCGAAGGCAGATGCTTAACTAACTGAGCCACCCAGGCGCCCCTGGTATTAAATTTAATATAATTATATTTAACAGATGCAATCTACTTGAATCTAGTATAGCGCTATATATTATATATATTATGAGTAAATAATAATGACTTGATTTTTGTTACTCCTGTTGTCTTTTTTGTTTGCAGCTTAATTTAGCTTTTATTTTCTGATACAAATGTAAGCCATTCAACTTATTAATCTAGAACACTGGAACCTAAAACTTCTAAATAAGCATAAAAAGTACTAAAGCACATTGAGGTTCTCTTATTACTAACTTGGAGCTAGGCATGAGAAAAGATTAGGAGAAGCGGCATGGGGAAGAGGACATGGAAAAAAAAGAGAGAATCTTAAGTGAAAAGAGGCCTTTTCAGAGTGGGGGTCTGTATGAAGCAGAGAAGCCTGATATCTATGTTCCCTCGGCTTAGGCTAAGAGCTGATCCTCCATTTATTGCCATTTTGTTGAGCACATGCGGGCCCATGGTTTTTTTCTTCCCAACTGCTTTTTAAGTTTCTCAGATATGTGGAAAGGTTGAAAGAGTAATATAATGAATGCACAAATAATTGTCAATATCTTGTCTATACTTCTATATGTATATGTTTTAAAGATTTTATTTATTTGACAGAGAGAGACACAGCGAGATAGGGAACACAAGCAGGGGGAGTAGGAGAGGGAGAAGCAGGCTTCCCACAGAGCAGGGAGCCCGATGCAGGGCTCCATCCCAGGACCCTGGGATCATGACCTGAGCCGACGGCAGACGCTTAACGACTGAGCCACCCAGGCGCCCCACACTTCTATGTTTCTATGTATTTTTGTTTGCTGTAACATTTGGAAATAATTTTTAGAATTATTACACTTCACCCCAAATACTTCAGCATATCTCTCTCTCAAGAATAAACCTATTATATCTTTTTGATCACTAACAAATTTTGCCTTGTATTTGTGGGGTACTGTTTATGTAAAAGAAGAAATAGTGATGTCCCTGACGGTTTTTTCTTTTAACATTTAAAAATTTTGTGTACTACTTGTAATAAACTGAAATCTGTAGTATTTACATTTTCTCCTTTTATATCTCCAGGGAGGAACTGACCTGATAATTAATAGCTATGGCCCTATAATTAAAAACAACTCTAAGAAAAAATGGCTTTTTTTCCAAGATTCTAAGAAGATAAAAGTTGAGCAGGTAACCCACCTAAATGAGAAAAATTTTTGGCAACCCATGGTATCATGAAATGATAATTAAAAAGAGAGGAAAATGTAAATGAAGGCCTTAATTTTCATATTCTGTCTGGATATGATTTTATTAATTTGGGGCATAACTCTATGGAAATCCATGGCGCGTGATCATTGAAGTGACAGTTGGAATAGTAACCAGAGCTGTAGTTTTCAGCAGGGAATGGGGGGCAGTGGAGGAAGGGATGTGGCAGGAGTAAGCATCAAAAATCACTGAAGAAGACTTTAGACACTTCACTTGCCCCTGTAATCCTCATGTGTTGCCACTTGGGTGGGGGACTACTGACCTAGATCATCTCTTCATGATGATAGCCTTCCACCCATATCCTTGAACAGATGACTATTTCAGAACATACAGACTACGTAAAGCCATATTTATTATTTTTCAAGAGCACTGTATCATCACTGATGGTGTTTTATGTATTTTTAGCCTCAAAGAAGATTTGCTCAAGCGGTGTGCTTTTACCAGCCAGGCACTACTGTGTTGATCAGTGATGAAGACTCTCCCAGCTCCCCGGGTCAGAGAGCCAGCTTCCCAAGACCCTTTGGTGGTGTTGCAGCTGATACTGAGCACTCAGCCAATAGTGAAGGCAGCCACGAGACGGGGGATTCTGGAAGGTTCTCCCATGAGTCCAATGACGAGATACACCTGTCCTCAGTCATAAGCACCACACCCCCAACTTCCAGTTCCTTCACTGGCAGTGAGTCAGGTGGGGATCCCTCCTTGAGGAAGCGTGAGGACCCAGCAGTGCCGCTGGATGCCGAGCAAACTTCCTCCTCAGTTTTGCAGCCGCCGTCCGCCATGCTGCTCTTTGATAAAAATGATTTTCCAATCTAGAGAGCCATGTTCAGGTATTGCCACCTTTAAGTCTGTTCGAAGGACAATGAACAGGGAGCCAAAGCCTTTTGTGAAAATCTTGGTGTCTTATTGGGTATTTCAGCTTTTTTTTTTTTTTTTGGAATGTATTTTGTTTTTTTATGTTTAAACTCATGTATTTTGAATGTGTCATTGTCAGCAATGTGAAGAGACAGTCAAGATATTTGACTGGATTATAAAATATATCACTGGAGCAAAGGGAAGACTTTGGAAAGCCCCTTTGCTGACTATCTACCTCAGTTTGCCAGGTGGCGAACTCAGAAGAGACAACTTTGTTACCTCATTTATTGTGGTAGTTTATCTCCGCTCCATAACCAATGATACTTCCTAGTAGCATTTTGTTTTCATTGCTGTATGTGTAGTGCGTGTGATCAAGGGAGTCATATAGGTATATGAGTAAGAAGGTTTATCTGAAGCTCTGATTTTTTTTTTTAAAGAAAATTCTGACATCTGCATGGTTTGGAAAATGTCATACCTCCACTGTGAGGACTGTCGAACCACTGAGAAGAGAAGAAGTGGGACTGTTGATTTTAACGAATGACCAAAACAAAAAAAAAAGTGTCTCTCTTTTGAGAACAGAACTGTTCAGTAGCATGTGGGAAATCCTGTGGCTTCAAGGGCCTTTCTGATTTGGGCATTAGCGTCCGAGTGCTTTACCTGCTGTACCCTAAACCTCAGCTGCCTAGAGCCGTGCCTTTTCTACCTTCCCCTTTGCCTGATGGTCGGCCAAAGGCCACACTGTCTAGTTTGCAAAGCATCCTCACCGTTTCCAGAGTTAGTTGCAAAACTCCATGCAGAAAACAGATTTTTAAAGAGAATCAATTAGAGTTTTTGTTTTTTAATCCCACCTTGACTTAAAAAGGGTAAAGAAATTTCATAAAATATTAAGAATAAAGATAAATGCAACAGTAGACCATAAAATGAACTAGAGGTCATCATGGTAACAGTGCCTTCCATTATATATTATGAAATTCTTTGCCTTATACCTTTTTAATATTCATGAAGTTGTTCAGGACAGGAGTACAGAAAGTTGCCTTAAGAGTTTCTTGGATTTTATCAATAACTATTTTGATGTATAGTATCTTATCAAAGCATTTTAGTTTGTCTTCATGCAGGTTTGGTTTAGGGATAAGTATTCAGAGCTCTACCACCTTGCTTGTATTTTCTTGAATTCTTAAGAGAATTTGGTACTCTATTTATAATCTTCTTTCCATGTCAATGCTGTGAATGAGGAATGCTAACTCCAGGAGTGAGTTAATCCTCTTGCTGGTTTGAAATCAGCAAACTGTTTACTCAGCCACATAGAATAGGCCTTCTTTCAGTCATGAGACAGTTACCTACTAGGTACCCAGCAGTGTAAGAGGAAAAAGAATTAAACACATGGTGTAGAGAGGGGACCCCATTTTTTTTGGTAAGTATTTCTTCACATTATCTGGAAATGACTTCTGAGCCTCATTTTTTAAAAGGCATCTTAATGGATTTCCCCTTGAAACCTTTGGTTTACGGGGTGGGGGTGGGGAAATGATGCTAAATGGTGTTCTAAAATCAAAAGAATATTACTGGGTGTAACAGTCCCACCTCCATCATCTCCTATCCCAGTGTCTGATGATGCATCTCTTATTGTTTCTTAATCTGCAGTTTTGTGCCAAACTGGATGTGTTCAGAAGCAGACCAACATTAAGTGCCAGCAACCACTTGTGAATAAAGTCAAAGTCCCCATTTAGTTATCTAAGTAGGGGCTTCATGGCAAAACAAAAAAAGCAGAGCTTTAGGTGAACAATCTGAGGCAAGGAAAAATGCTCCTCCTGCCTTTATAGCTCCTGTTTTATACTACCTCCTTTTAAAGTTATTCTAGTGTTATTTTTTTCCTGTACTCAGGGAACATTTTGTTACTTTTAAGCTGCCTCATGCAAGCATGGGCAGATTGACAGGGTATGGTGTCTTTTGGTTCGTAAGTAGTTTTGTGGGGCCAACTTTTATCAGCATCCAAAATTAAGGAATATAAGGAGTTTGCTTTATGTTTTAAACTTTCATTAAAAGGCAGATAAAATCTAAAGTTGAAACATCATCCATCATGGTTATGGAAGATGTGTCCAGGGCTGCATGAATTTGAATCATTTTAAAAGTCTAAAAAGATGATCTGACAGTCCTTGAGGAAAGTATTTTTGTTTGTTTTTTTTTTTTTTTTTTTTTGATGAATAGGCCCATAGTTATTGTAGATCTTTAGGCTATAACTGTTTGCTAATTATTTACCAGTACATTTTTACTTTTTCACCTTTTCATTGTGTTCTTATACAGATTTTTTCATAATAATTCTGTTACCAAAGAATTTTCAGTAGAAAGTAAAAATTTGACTATAATTTCCCCCCAAAATTGAATTAACTAGAAACATCTATAGGTATGAAGCTTATATAAGTTACTAACCCAAAATAATAGGGTTTATATTGATTGTTGTAGTTAAATAGACTAGTAATTTCAACCTACCTTATTGTTACCAGAGCATACTAACCCAAAATAATAGGGTTTATATTGATTGTTGTAGTTAAATAGACTAGTAATTTCAACCTACCTTATTGTTACCAGAGCATTTAAAATAAGTTCTTTACCAGCATATAGTTCCAAAGAATTTCAAGTGTAATTTTTTTTTTCTTCAGCAAGTAAATCTTCATAGACAGTATTAGAGTAAAGTATTTTTAAATTGTTGAAACTACTTGTTGGAGAGAAAAAAAATCTTTTCACCAAAGATAAATATTTTGGTCTCATTGAATAAGATGTTTAGTATACACCAAAGACTTCTTTTTACTTGGCCAAAGCTAGCTTCTTTGAAGTCTTAAGTATAAAATTGTAACTAAAATGTGAAGGTTCTCATTCGTCTCTCATAGTGGTGTTACTTCATGGCATTTCATTCCAACGGGGTTAATATGCAAATGGTAACTATTTTCTTTTCCAAAGACTTATTTGCTGTAAGTACTGATACACGCATGCCATTTTTATGCCAAATATTACAAGATACTGCTCATCAGTATTTTCATACCAAAGACCATTAAAGTATATAGATTAGCCTGTAAGTAAGTAAAGATGAGCAGATTTGAGATAAATTTATTTAGAGGCTGATAGGAATCTAGCTTTAGTAGCAAAAGATATCAAAGGGCTAAGTTTACATAATTAAAAGCAATACAATTATGTTGGTATTTATCAGTGTTTTTATTCAAGTACTTTTTATCAGCAAATTATAAAAAACCAAAGATATTTAAGGTTACCTCCGCATATAGACAAATTTAGTTGTACATTAAACTGTTGTTTCTTGTTTTTATGTCAACCGAACTTGTCTCTCCAGAACCCAGTCTGTATCCAAATAGCATACATAGGGACTTTCCATCAAATCTGCTGATTCAGCCACAGGATGTTTTTGCCAAATGATATGATTACTCTCCTAAGCACCTTGAGTGTGAGATGTCAACAGAAATCTCAGCAAGTTTTCCATTCCAGAGCATATGGCAAACCCTGAATTAGCCTGTGCAGTCTTCTTCCTGCTTAAAGCATTACGTGGTTGACTCAGAAGACTTGAGGCAGTCCCAAAATAATAGGGACATTCTCGTCTCTGGGGAGCAGTGGCATGTAGTGGGCAAAGAAATCATACCACTGTTTAAGAGGGCTATCCTTCGATTGATGTGCTCTTTAAAGTTGTCCATAAGTCGAAATATTTTAATTGCATCAAGGGACCCTAGTGTTTCAAACTTTAGGGGGAACCTTGGGTGAAACCATAATCTTTTTTATGAAATCTGGGGTTTTATATTTTGATTAGCCTAAAAGGAAAGACACAGCTTTATCCACTAAGTAGCATTTAAAAAATCGGCTTTAGCACACCAGGGAAATTCGATCCTCGGTGAAATGCCTTTTATTTGCCTTTGCTTCAAATAAGAGCACTGCCAACATTGGGGACAATGACAGTGATTTGCATTAGTTTGTCTTGACTTTGTTAAGGACTTCTGCCAGAAACTTGCTCATGTTGACTACTCAGGATCACTGGTCAAGTCCATATGGAGACAACTTTGAAGAGTGTCCCGAAAAGATGAAATTGAAAGTATCTTTTTATTTTAATTCAAGAATATCCAGATGTGGTTCCATTTCACTGGTGGTGTAGTGATTCACATATGTTTCTGTTTCATTGAATGTAAATTTTTAATACTGAAGGTAAAAAAAAAAAGTTTCAACTATATGGAAAGAGTCATGATCTTTCTAAGACTAAACATGTATTTTGTAAACTCTGTTCTTGACAAGTTGCCACATGGATCTCTGGTAAAATTGCTTCGGTTTAATAGAATAATTTGTGGGCTGTGAGCAGAGTAGAGGGTTCTGGAGATTTCCGTATACAACCAGTTGTCTACTTGTGACTTTTATTGGTGTTTAGAAGAACATATACATAGAATTCTGTGTTAAGTTGATTTATGCTCAGGACATAAGATCACAGGCTAATGCAATGTGTATGTTTGCAGGCTTTAATCTTCTCAGGCAGTTTCCCTTTTTAAGCCTTTCAAAGTGTTTAGGATTATGACAGTCTTGCATTTTTATCAGACAGATGCTGTATTTTCTTAATGCTGCTGTAACAAATTATCACAAACTTGATGGCCCTAGAACAACACAGATTTATTACCTTCCACTGCTGTAGGTCACAAGTCTGATACAGGTCTCACTGGGGTAAAATCATCAACGTCTGTTTCCTTGGGGGTTTTTTTTCTGGCTTTTAGAGGCTGTGGACTCTTCCCTCCATCTTCACTCTGACCCTGCTTCCATCATTATATCTCTTTTTCTGACCCTAATCAGGAAAGGTTCTCCAGTTTTAAGGACGCATGTGATTACAGTGGGTCCACCTGGATAATCCAGGATAATCTCCCCATCTCAGAATCCTTAACTTAATCACATCTGCAAAGTCCCTTTGCCACGTATGGTAACATATATAGAGTCCAAGGATTTGGGCATGCACTTCTGTGGAGGGCCATTATTTTGCCAACCGTAGATACATTATTACTGTAGAACTGTATAATTCTGATCCCTACAAAATGTCTGTTGCATTACAGAGATTGGAAGTCTGAAGTCATGTGCCCCTTAGGGATCTTCAAAATCTCAAAGCTATGAAAACCTTGGCTTGTAGTTTATCAAGTGTACACATTAAACTTCCTTTCTAGATCACTTGCAAAAACAATTCAGCTTTAAACTTTTTGAATATTTGCTTCATAAATTAACATCTCAGTTCTATGCATTTAACAAAGTTTCCTTGGCTCTAATTTATGGAAGTTCCTCAGAAATTTTTGATAACTGTTCTTATTATAGTTGAACTTTCTGCCTTTCTCTTAAGTAATTGTGTTGCTGGGGAGGGTTAGGGGGAAAAAAACCTCAAACATAGGGACTCAGTAGGTGAACAGAATCAT